CCACTACCACCACTACCACCACTACCACCACTACCACCACTGCCACCACTACCACTTCCTCTGTTGTTTTGTTTATATGCGTGTCTGTGCTTGTGTAATAAAAAAAATATTTTAAGGAAGTTTTTGAAGGCAAGCGGTCGTTCTTTTCTTTTTAAATAGAGGATGAAAATAGTGCCCGAGGTGAAAATAATGTTACTAATCCTTCGCCTGTGGAAAAACATATTTTGTTAGAATTTATTAAATTGTGGGATACGTGTTCAGAACCATGAAAATATTTAACATACATTTAACTACATATACAATAAATTGTGAAAAAGAATAAATACTACAACTTTTTCTTTCCATCCATTTTATGATTCTTGCATACGAATTAAGCTTCTGCGCGCTTACTACTTGCTACTCAATATTCAATATGAAAAATATTGACAAAAATAATAATAATAATATTACACAGTGTGCAACTAGCAATAGAATAGCCATAGACTATAGAATAGAAGACAGTGTCCAACCGGAAAGTCCCGCTGAAGTCCCGCGGAGAATGCTGTTATTTCTTTTTGTCACGTTTTATGTCACGATTTGACGTTTGTTAATTAAAAACTAGGATGTGGATCATAAGTTATTTATTCGCTAAATAAAGCGAAGTATAATTTTAATATGACCTTAAGATCGTTACTTCAATATTTTCAAAATGGTTGAATAACTCAAAATATTTTATAAAATTAATATAATCGATAAATTGAATATATGTGATCATCGTGAAAAAAAATCAAATTAAAATAGAAATAAATTGTAAATTTGTAAAAAATAATGTATGGAATGTAATTACATTCTTAACTAGACTGGATGTAGCTTATTTTTTTTACGAATTTGTACTGTGAAAGACGGCATATTTCATTGCGCACTATCGCGATAAACTCGATAGTACACTATGAAAAAAAAAGGCTTTAACAGTTATTTTTGATATAAGTGCGGAAAGTTAGTCATTATTCACGAGTCTCAAGGCTTCTTGGCCCGAGCCAGAGGCGAGGGTCAAGACGTGAGACAAGTGAAAATAACAAATCCGCACGTGTATCAAACGACGTTTTTTAATACATTTGCGAAAAAACTACATTGAAAGTAAAATAAAACAGTATTTAAACAAAACTCATTTTCTGCTAGTAAATTAAAACAATGAAATACAACCACTGCAACCATTAGTTAAAGGTCTATGGAAATCTAGTTCTAACGTGCTGTTTTTGTTTATTTTCTGTAATATCGTCTGTAACCACTTTTCTTATTATGAAGTCCTCGTACTTTTGTTTAAACTTCTTTAGGAACCCGTGCACGGTAGTGAGATACAATTTATCTGTAATGCATAGAACAAATAAATAAATTACATAATAATCTCGCCTGTCACCCATTCAGGGTTAGGCAGAGACTATGGACCTCCACTCGATACGTTCATTATATAGTATTTGTAAATAAATATAAGTTTTAATGACGAATGACTTATGTACGTCACAAAGCACATAAATATTAAATAAATATACAACTTCTTTAGTTCTATGTTTAAGATTTAAAACAACAGTAAATTAAAAAAAAACTGGAAAAGTAAAAAGCACTAGTGCGAGAAATCCAACTTTCCGCACGATTTGTAGTGCGAAAAATACCACGTTTTGAGCAACTGTATTAAAAAAGTAGTATTTATTGCGCGATGGTGTTTTTTACCAAAATTGCCACAATGATAGCTGGCCTCTGGTAGAAGATGGTACCCCAAGAAGAAGAAGGTATTTTTTATTTGTCACTTTGGCAGAGAGGACTGCTTATGAATGGCGCGTCCCTTGATGTAGCTCCAAGATGTATTTATATTATTATTTTCAAGTATTCTCAAAGCACTTGCTGTGGCTGTGATAAAAAATATCGAATTGATGATATCTAAGAATAAATGTCGACAACATTTATCGACTGTGTTATGAAAATATACCGACATTTTAATATATCGATATTTTGTACGCAGCCCTAATATCAATAAATGTCAAATCAGCTAGCAGCTTCAGTCAAGTAAAAAACGTCAAAACAAATTTCTTTTTGCGTTATGTTTTCCTCATACAATACAAATTGAAATTTGTACAATTACCAGCATAACAGACTACTACACAACTTCAAAGAAGTAAGTGTAAAGATAAAATAAATAAAAAGATAGCTTGTCTTGCTTAATTTCGATAAGTGGATGTAACATTATGCCATTCTCACAATTCTCGTGTAATTCACACTTTGTAAAATATTTCATCCGCTCTGTGGATCGAAGTCAACGAATTAAATAGGTGCTTAGCTAAATAATATTTCAAGATAGATTTTAAAAATAATATGATAACGGTCATGTAGAGGACGATTCTTATTTTAATACTTTATTTTTCGTACTTTTTACTTATGTATTATTGTGAAATAATTAGGATATCCATTTACCCTTAATTTTGCTTCTGTTAAGGCCCATTGGAGAAAGTTTATCGCACGTTTCGTGACGAAAAATCTTACGCGATTATCGCAAGCAATAATCGCCATAAGATTCATTCAAGTATCAAAATGTTTACATACTGGCAAGAACTAAAATCTCGCCTATGATTATTGATTATAAGTCATACGAGATTCGCAAGTAGCTGAATCGCCACCTCGATTGTTTACACAGAGGAACTACTAGCAAGGAGATTCTTTCGTATGAGTCCTGGACTTGTCTGAACTTGATCTCGTATGACATTTTTTCAAGTTCACACAATTATCATACAAATTGGTTCATACTGTTGTGATTGCGAGAATTGCCATTCGAGTTCAGTGTTTACTGCAATATTGATTATGGATATATTAAAATGACACAAAAATCTTTCAAATTTGGAACTACTGATAATATTAAGTACATTGAACTTATTAGCTGACCATACAACAGAACTGGGAATGAAATATTAGTCACAAAATTATCCGCAATGTTGTCAAAGAATAATTACTGTAGACATTGCATTAGAATATGATTGCAAAACTATAGTTACTTTTAAAAATGCCTCAGGTTAAACGACATTTTGAGCAATATTCTGATGGTAAGTATTGACAATATGTGCTAATGAGGTGCAAATGTTGGAACAGTCTTGGTCCCACACCACTTTAGTGTTCATTGCATAAGCAATGTGTCCACAATAATGACAAAGGCTTATATTTAAGATTTGGATGTGTTGTTCTTTGTGATGCATGGACTACATTTTTGGGAGCTAGAGTCTAAATATTAATATAAATATTTATGGAACTGAAATGATCATGATATTGAAATAAGTAAATTTTTTGTTTTCATTAATGATGACTCCAAAAATGGAAATAGTGATGTTACGATGTCATACAGTACAGACCTAATGTAATTAGGTTTAACAAGTAGTAAATACCCTATTTGTTCATTTTAGGATGGCTACCGCACCTCACCAACCTCGTGAGCGACAACCTCCTCCAGAGCCTCGCGAGCGCCATGCGCCACCACCGCCCCGCCGACCTAATGCACAAGCTCCACCGCCCCCGCGCGAGCGACAGCCGCCACCCCCACCACGGGAACGACAACCTCCTCCTCCCCCTCGAGAGAAGTAATCCATGGAAAGGCAACATAATATCTAATGCACAATACCGTAAAGTTAGGATAAGCAAAGACTACCTTATGAACATTGGCTGTTTTGAAAAGTCTGGATTGAGTAGAAAATTCCGTCAATGTAACTAAAGTAATATCTGAGGGTTGTATGAAGAAAAAAAACCTTATGTCCATATTTTGAAATTTAGATTACAAACATTGCTTTAGAGTACTGAAAATCATGCAATGGTAAAAGACATTAAGTCCTATCGTCGTTTATTTTTATTTACCATATTTTATTTGACTGTAAGATTGATTTTAAATGCTTACATAAGAGTCTCATTCTCTTTAAAACGCTCTGTAGTAAAAAATACTATTTGGCTCTTAAGTTCTTTACTTCTCACCTATACATTTAAATTGCCACACAGCTACAATACCCCATTAATATTGTGTTTTGCTACTTTGTGCAAACAAACAAATAGATACTCAACTGTACTAGCCCATAAAACCTTTAAGCATTTGATTTATGTCAATTGTAGTATCGTGAAATATTAATTAACATACTTAAGAAATAAAAATTGCTACAGAAATGGACACTAACCTGATAATGACACTATTATTGTAAAATATTTATTTCATATTGATAATTGGGCCAAATCAAGGTTGTGGAAAAGTATACTCTAACATTAATAAATTTGGAAATGTATTTTAATGTTTATATTATGTACCTATATAAATTATAAATATGTATGTAGAGATGCTCAATCAATATAACATACCTTAGGCAACAATAGCCAAATCTATATTGTCGATAAATGTACCAAAGGAGCATGTCAAGTTATTCTTATATGATAATATGTACAGTGCTTCTATTTTCTCAATGTCTCTCGGCAATCATCGGATTTCCCAATGCACATGAATATTAATTTCCATGTCCATTAATTATTAGATTTAAAATCTATAATAATTTTAATTTAGAACAATGTCCTTTATAGTTGTTTTGATATCTGTGTGATTTATACAGAGCTGTAAAACTATTTCCCAGTTTTTAATAACAGTTACTTCATGTCATTAAGCAAGTTACCAAAAATATAAAGAAAATTAAGTGTGCTTTTTTATATAACTAAAAATGAATATTTTTCCAGTTATTAATAATTTCAATTCAGTCCGTATCTCAACGCATTTTTTTCATTTGACTCAGCTATATTAGTATGTCGCCATCGATGGTGTAATCAGTTTCCACGCTGCTTGAACAGGTATTAATTTTAGGATTGTAAATAATAAAAACGATAATGATAACAATAATAATTGTAATAAATAAAAAATGTAATAGCAACTCTATATACTTCCAAGTCGACTGAAAGCGTCCGGTCTGTACCAAAGGCAAAGGGCAACTGAATAAAACCTAACGACAGCTGAAACACGAAGTTTGCCGAGGGACATTGAGAAAATAGAAGCACTGTATATAAATATTCTCTACAATTTATTATTGTGTTGCCAAAAATATATATTTTGTTCAAAAATTTGTGTTTCAATATTTAGCCTGGCGTATTTTTAGTGATTTGATCTTTGTGAAGAATTTATTGTTACTCAGTACAAAGAATTTATTGTAACTCAGTACCTATTACTATTTCTTATGATTCTATGATCCTGTATAGTTAACGGTAAAATTTTCAAATAGGTACAAGTGTCAAGTAAGAATTCCAGAAATTGTCTTACTTAAAAAATTTACAAACTTTAAAAATTGTGCTTACAACAATAGTATATAAGGTCTTTGGCCTACAATTTACATATTTCTGTTCAATAAAGATTTACACTTGGCAGGTACACAATTTACAAAGGAGAAGGGTCTTTGACCTAGTCCCGACGCAAACGAAAATTTTATCTCGGAATTTTACTTATGTTAGATATGTAAATTCTACATAATTTTTGTTTTCTATATCAGTGGCTAACATGTCAATATTGCCGTTTTCGTCACATTTGCACGTAAATAATATGATTGCGTGCAGGCTAATTTGACTATAATAATAACGCACACACTCAACATAGCCCCGCACTAGGGAAACCCTATGTCGCGGGTGCCATGGACACACATAGGCAAGCACAAATGACACCAAAACTCACGAGAGAAATAAATGTAGACCATACAAATATTTCTCCCGGCCCGGGAATAAAAAACTGGGATCTCTGCGTTGCAGTCTGGCATGGTAACCGTTAGGCCACGGAGGCAGTTAAAATTAATATTTAATAATGCTCCAATTAAAACTCTCTGGCCATTTTTTCTTCTCATTACCGACCATACCAATAATACTATTTACGTGCAAGTGTGATGAAAAGCATCGTACGTTTCACGGGCGCTACGGGCATTACGAGCCTAGATTCCGAAAGCCCTGTCATCGAATTCGGGCTTCTAATAGAGTATCGTTCGTAATTCCTTACTTACCGCCCGTAGTACACAATGTACTATTGTTTTTACTCAGGTGTAATAAATAAGGGTTGTATAATAAGGTAGTATAATCATATATAAACAAAAGCCTACAGATTTTATTGTTCAAAAATATTATAAGGAAGTATAAAGTGATCAATCAAGGTAGAAATAATATAGTAAAATAAAGAACAAGTTGGAAATGAATTTTCTTTTAGTTTACAATATATTCTTCAAATTAATTTTCTACGTCTACTAATAACACACCCAGTGCGGGGTGGTCAAATCAAAGGATTACGCCTGAGCAAAAACAAAAGGCAATGTTAGCCACAGATGTCGAAAACAAAACCAGAAATTCTGTACCTACAGGCATTGACTTACAAAAAGTCAATGCCTGTAGGTGTATATAAGGTGTGTATAATAGTTTCATTTCCTATGTGTAACAATCGCGAAAACCTAAGAACTCGATAAGATCATTTGTCTTTAACCATTCGGAAACATTATTTATTAATAATTTTGGCTTGGGTACAAGTCCTTTGAGCCATGTTTTCGTTTAATTATGTTTCTGTAAATATGGCCGCCACAAAGAGGATAGGCAATTTGAGGCGGCGTGCTTGGATTGACTCGGGATTCCTTAGAACGGGCCGAAACGGGTATTTTAGTTCGAGATTCGTATAATTTCGCATTTTAATCTTCGATTAAGGCACATTGGCACTATCCTATCCCACTTTAAACTAGATTTCACAAAATAATTGAAAGTCAAAATAAAAACGACACTTTTCCCTCCAAAAGGTCCAGAGCGAATCCCATTTGGAAACATTTTGTCTACGTTTTAAAGAGTACTGGCAGGTAAGACAAAACGTTCTAAATTTGAAAAATAAATTAATTTAAAAATTATTCGATTGGAATGGAAAGATTTTTAGCGTTTTGTGTGATTAAATGTTGTATTGTTTATTAAAAAAATACTGTTTTAAATGATGGATTGCCAAATTGTTAAAATTAGTTTTTCATGGCAAATTTGATATCGTATTAAGGCAGAAAATATACTAATCGCTGGTAACATAGTGACACTTCTTAAAGAAGGCACAGATTACTTAACGTTATTAACTTAAGTTACATGAAAACGAAGAAGAAGAAGCTTTAATCAATGTTATGGGTCAGTACATAAATATCGTTTGTCGGAACGGTTTGCTGTCAGTAGTTCTACGTTCAGATGACCCACGATTGCAGTTTCAGAAAAAAAAACGATGACGACGAATATGAGCCAAGCTTTACAAAATCGGAAGTATACCTACACAAACATCAAAAACATTTTACTGATGACTCACACTGGCGCCGAGTCGAAGCGTCGCGACGCGTCATGTTTTTCGCCTATAGCATATTCATCTATATTTTCCAATTATTAAGGTACAAAATTGACCAGCCATTCTGACGTCAGGATGGCTGGTCGCCTCTTTGTTCAGCATGAAGGGAGCAGATTTTCCAGAACTGTGTATTACCAATAATTGCTACCTATTTGCTACCTTCACGAATTAAAGGTATACGCTTCATATATACATAAGTTAAAAAATATAACCGATTGAAAATTTTACGAAGAAGTGCCTGATCAAATTAAAAAAAGCAAAAGTTTTTAGTGCTTCATTGCCATAATACAAAGGGCAGGGCGTTGGTACCTATTTCTGCCGCCAAATAGTAAATGTAATATCAGCATTACTGTGTTCCGGTTTCGAAGGGTAAGGGTGCTGGTGAAATTACAGGCACATAAGACTTGTCAACATAAGCCTCAGGGTGACGGGCGCAGTGGCAGTGCCCCTCAGATCTTTGCAATTTAAAGCTCAGAGTGCCACTGCAACTGTTATGGACAGGCGTGTAGCTTCCCATCAGGCACACGATTTGTCCATCCAGTCACTGGATATTATAAAAAAGAGAATAAATGAACAAAAAAAATAATTATAAGGATTGAGAAGTTGACAATATTCTAAAATCAATATGTATGTGTAAAAAAATTACGTACATTCTATGTTTTGCCTACTTAAGTGCCTACCTATTTACTATATTTACGAAATTGATGCCCTACACAGGCGGAGGAAAAAAAATGTATTGTTATTAACAGAAAATCTAACTGACTAAAAAAACAATGGCAGTTATTGATAAGTATTAGTACCTAATCACAGCTTATCTGTTTCCCTTGCGTGGGAGAAGGAAGTCCTATTGCGTTTTACTCTCGATAAATCCAGTTACTAGCTGTAACTGTGACGAAAATGACTTCTATAATTTTCTTTACTATTTTGCTCCTGATCCATCAAGTAGTCCCGCGGTCATTGGTGCCCGCGGAAGTTAAAAAAGAGATGTTAGAGAAGAGTGGTGTAGTGATACAAAGCGAATTAACTGAGGATTCTCCTCAATGGCTGGTGCAAGATACTTACTGTCCAGAAGGTTATTTGAGGGATTTCTTAGGAGTGTGCCGTGAAGTTTGGTAAATTGGAGAACCGATTAACATTTACGACAAAAGTATTTATTTACCTACCTTTGAGTCGAAAACAAGTGTTTTGTAACAATCTGTATCTACGGATTAAACTATCAGCGTCGTGTTTTGGAACCTTACTTTCTTATTTCCTCACCAATTTGTATACCAAAATGATAATAATTGCAGGTACTTAAGTATTTTGCGTGCACTTAAAAATATAATAGTTTATCTACATTGCGCCTTTTTATTTTGAAATATTGTTGGTTACAGCAATTAATTAAGTATTTACGGAATAAATAGAATCAAGTAACAAATTTAATGAATGGAATATATTATTTACAACCGTATGTACACTTAAATCAATCTATTAATAAAAAGGGATAAGTTAGCGTGGCAAAAGGGGTGCGATAAATCTCCATGTATCCAGTTTGTCGAGGAAAGGGTTTGCGAAATGGGTGATGCCATGAGAGACGAGTGCCGCGATTGCTCCTTGGAACCTATTCACATAGTCGATGACCACGTCTTCAATCATCGCGTTGAAAATCGCGTCGATATCACCACCGCCGATAACACCCGTCACTCTCGACTGGAAAATATCAATTACGATTATTCGATTAAAAATATAAATACAAACGTCTCCCAAAGTTATACTGTACATAGTCACTATATCTATAATTATAGAGTCTTAAGACTCACACGATAATATTGTTTGTATACAGAAATCACTCGGTTAACAACTATATTACTTACAATACAAAATCTATTTCATCGTAAGAGACATTTCTTATTTTTAACCTAGCTTTTCAAAAAAGGAGGAGGTTCGTTAATTCGACTGTATGTTTCGACTCATCCGTAGAACAAAGGTCTATGTGCAAGACTACTTGTTCTCAGGAGAAACGTACTACCATTTCGTTCATTCTCCTTCACTGTGGATGTCAGATCGACCCTTCTTCGATTTTATATTTCCGAAACGAAATAAGACATATAAATTCTTTAAACACCCTTACATAGGCCTTAGTTTTAATAACGAAATTATGTATTTATTCTCTTCTTGCTGTATAATCACATCGGACTTTGTTCTTTGGATGAGTCGGGCTTTTTTTTTAGGTTTGTTTACGATAATTCAATAATTTGTGGACGGATTTTGATGATTCCTTTAGTTGGAAAGAGAGTACCTCGGTAGTGGTATCATTTAAATTTGAAGAAAATATTCCACCTCAAGGGTGGCACACTAGGTTTCGCGCACTTTTCGGTGACCGATTCCAATAAAACTTGGGAAATAATGTAATTCCACGAACTTTTGAGGTCAGTTTTTTTTAGTACTCTATACTGAGATTATTACCTTGAAGTTTGGCATCTCAAAGGCCGCGTTCGCAATCCTGTCGATAAGTACAGAATTCCCGTCTTCAGACTGTTTCAAGAATAATAGGGCCTTAATTCTGAAATCTTCAATTTCAAATCTGTAATAAAAAAACCAGTTCACTTGTATACGTGTCCTGAGTCCTGAAGTTAATGGAGCTGGAGAATATGAAAGAAAATTATAAATAGAAATACTAAGCCTAACGTTGTTGGCGAAACCAAGGCTCCAAGACTTGCTAGGCTCTGCCACGTAGTGAGGATGGAAGAAGTTCGTTCAGCAGATCTGATTGCCTTGCATATACGACAACAAGAACAACGTCTGCAGGCAGACAGCGCACAGCCCGGACAATGTGAATTTGCACAGAGACTAGGTAAAGTTTCCAACGATTGATTATTAATGGCTGGCCAAACTTTGCAGTTAACACCGCCCACATTTAGTACTCGTCGATTTAGCAGTAGGTATACTGTACATATAGTACCTGATATAAACCAGTTTATACCATGACGACTTTGCAAATTCTTCATAAATGTTATAGGTACTCTTGTTCAATATGGTATTATGTAATGTCTACCTATTGTGTTTCACTGATTATTTGCCATTATTGTTACAAGTAGATTGATTGCAACAGGTTGGTTTTTTGCTCTACAGCTACTTGTGAGTGAAAATGTTGTAGGTACTTACTCAGCTTTACCATTTCCGAACAGAGGTATGGCATGCAACAGGTTCCCCGTTAGATCGTAATGCTCTGTTGAAAAATAGATATTTTAAAAAACTTGTGAAGATTATCTGTTCCAATACAAAATTTAGGAAATGTTTATTGTATCACAGTTCTACAAACAGATATTACTAATCTATCAGCTTTCATAAATTGATTAAACGAAAAAGTTGCACCTAATATGTTTAAAACCTACAGTAGGTAGTTTTATTTACAATTGAAAATAAGCCATCAGCACATACCAGAAGATATGTCTAACTTGGGAAATGTGAAGTCGACGTCAAACGTGAGATCACGTAGATTGAGATCGCTCTTGTGCACCACAAAGCCGCCAAAACCAGTCGCCAAGGCATTCTTCAATGTCATGTCTAAGCTGATGAGGAAATACAATAATGTTTGGTAATTTTATTAACATTGTAATAATAATAACGCACATGTGTTTTAGTCCCACACTAGGGAAACCCTGTATCGCGGGTGCCATGGACATACACATAGACAACTACAAATTACACCCAAACTCATGAGAAAATTAAATGTAGGTCATACAAATATATTTCGCGGCCCGGGAATCGAATCCAGGATGGTAATCGATAGGCTTCCGTGGCCGAACCATGCCAGTATGATTATACTCGAAGTATGTTTCAAACATATCGTCGCCTTACTTTGTCAAACTCGTATCTTAAAGCACAAAGTTACTGAAATGCAAAAATTGTATATACGAATTTTACTGGTTGATTTCACATACCTAACATTTTTCCTTCATATTCACACACTGGCTTTTACCTATTCGTAAAGTAATGCATCCAAATGAACCCTCTTGATAAGAAATTTAAAATAAATAGAAAATTTTGCCGTCTCCAAAAATAATCACTCTTTATAAAATACGAGTTTGAGAAAGTAAGGCGACGATATCATAAATTTCTTATCTGTGAACATTGACTTACAAATAAATGGACGACGGGTGTAATACAAAAACCACGAAAAAAATGTCCCAAGTCAACCTATTCGAAATTTAAATTGTTATGTCATCGCAGTATCGCGCTGTCAGTAGAACAAATGAAGACTAAAGCGGAGTGTCGCGCTCTGTATACGATTTTAGCGCCTTACAAGTGCGGACACTTTTTAGCGCGGACCCGACGTCCATATAATTGTAAGTCAATGTCTGTGAATATGTTATTATTGCTTATTTTTAACATCAAATTCGATTTTATTATTACATTCAAATTCCGAACATATCTAAAAAACAATTTGATTCGACCTCAATTCTAATATCAGTCGAGATGAAGTTTTATTCGAAATGAAATGTCAATAGCAAACAATTTTGTCAAATTTCACACGTTACTTGATATCGAATGATATAAGAGTTAGGGCCGACTCTAGTTTGTCTATGAATTAAAAATAAAACTACGGTTGTGTGACATGCGTGAGAAAAGTTTTTATTTGTCATTTCGCCAGTCGTAACATGTGGTCATAGATTTAGTATTAGGGTATTTAGGGTACATAAATACTAAATCTATGCATGTGGTTCCTGAACACATCATAGAGAGCTTTTAATATGTGTATCATATGTGTATAGATAAAGTACATCATTAGGCATTAAAACACACGTGTGATGTTTTTATGATTCCCACACTCGTATTTGAATGCTTTTCATTATATTGTAACAGTCACAAAAACTACTAACTCATAAAACATAATAAAAAAAATTGAAAGTTTTGGAATTTCACCCAGAAGGCATACTTTTAACTAGAATTCTTGCTTTAAATTAACATTAATTGCATTACTTTTTTATGCAATTTACATTCCATAATGAACTTCATGTCAATTGACTAACGTACAATAACGTGCTGCGGGAATACCTTCCCGAAACCACCCGAGACAGCGCGAAAATTTTTTGGAAGATGCGCAACCTGTTTTTGGCTCGTATGTACCTTACGCAAATGTCAAAAAGTACGTACATACATGCTATGTTTAAATTAGTTTCTATTCCGTTCCACACCAATGAAACTTGAGACTAAGGCCCGGCACCCATTGGCAGGACAGTATGGGAAGGGGTCCTACTACGGCATCCCTACATGCACGCGCAGACTATGGCAAATATGCAAGCAGTTTAGTAGCAGTAGAGCTCCTTGTGAAAGAGTTCGTCCAGGGAGAACTGCCACCTTACCTATTTCTGCCGCCAAGCAGTAATGTTAGCATTACTACGTTCCGGTTTTCAAGGATATGGATGCTGGTGAAATTACAGGCATATGGGACTTGTCAACTTATGTCTCAGGGTGACGGGCGCAGTGGCATCTTTGCAATTTAAAGGTCTGAGTGGCACTGCAACTGTTATGGACAGGCGTGTAGCTTACCATCAGGCGCACGAATTGTTCGTCCCGTCATTTCAAGTGATATTATAAAATAAAGTATATCCTTAGACATGCCGAAGCATACAGTCGCGTCATCGTGCTTACAGTTAGCCTTTAATTAGATACGTTGTTTTGAGTTGTAACGTTAAAAGCCTGCCGAAACATCCTGAAAGTTACCGGGGCGTTCCGGCGGTTGCCATGCCGTCTCGGTATCCCTAAGCTTGTCGCAGCTTTGTTTTCCTACCTACGACAATAACTGTCATTGAAATTTCAACTATAACGTCATAACATTAAAGTATATTACTATTCGTCACATAAAAATCCCCTGTCGCGCCGTCCTGTTAGTGGGCACCGAGCCTGAAATTTTCACTTATTAAAAATTCGGCCGAACTTGTCCAGCAGGCAGATACTTACTTGATAATTCCAGCCGGCAAATAGAAATGGTAGGATTCAAGTTCAAGAGGATCTAGAACCGGAATGCCGAAGACGGATGAACCATTGGTGATTATGTATCGCAAGAACGCGATCAGTTGGCGTACCAGAGCGTTCACCAATATATTTCGCTGTTCCGGAGTTAAATCTTCGAGTACTGTCGACAGCCAATCTGCTGTGAGATGATTTCTTGTCACGAAATGTATTGTAAATAGTACTAGTAAGCAAGAGATTTCCATAGGTACAAATTTAGTAACTAAATCGATTTATACGCTAGATTAAATTACATAGCTTCAGGTAGGTTTTGTTTAGTTCTGCATGGGGAAACTTGATTCATTCTTTTCAGGTGTTATGTTTGATATCTGTAGCTGCACTTTATTATTGATAGTCTTACTTACCATTATTGACGACTTCCACTTTATGGTTTTCGACTTTGGGTGCTGCGGCCGCAATGGCGCACAGCATTAACACCAGCGCAATTTTCATCCTAAAATTTAAAAACAATCTTGCACTTTATATGGTTTTTTTATCACTTGTTTGATTTTTATTACTTTTTATTTTCATATAGGAGCTAAGTGAAAACATTGTTTAAGGCGACAGTTGTGATTGTAACGAAATAGCAATTACGGCAATATTTAGCTGAACTACTGACCGTGAAATATTGGTTTATACTTGGTTACATAGGTTATATTACTAAGCGTGATACTGAACGACATAGGGTATATCTTGTATTGTGAAACTATTTTTTTTTCGGATATGTACTGCGTAAATATATTTGTTTTTTTCGAACAAAGCAACGTTTCGGGCCCTTTACAGGTCACATGGATACGGCTGACTGGCAGCAGTTTGACCGTGGAAACTGTAAAGGGACTGAAACGTTGTTTTGTATGAAAACAAAAAAATGCGATTTAGATTCGAAAAAAATAGTTTCATTTTCTATGTATAATAATCGCGAAAATCTACTTGAACTTGATATAAATGAATTTTGTTTTTCTATTACATTTTTAAACTGTAATCTGATTGGAAAACTGATACAATTACGGGTAATGTATATACAAACAGTTGAAAATTGCGTCCGCACTCTAGATTTTGTATCATTATGTTACTGTGCAATTATTTTGTACTAAGTATAACATTTTTGTAGAAAAGGTAATGATTCATATGCGTATATAAACCTGGTTTTATACCATAACTTATTTAAATATCGTCCGGGATATAGCAGTGATTCTACTGGTGCATTACAAAAAAAAAAATGTGTTTATAACCATTGAAAGCATTGAATTAATTTCTTCCTGACGGAAATTTTCAGTCGTAAGTGCCGAGGTAAAACATTTTTTGTTACGTCCCCGAAATTTTAAGATAAATAAAATTTAAAAATTTTTGAGTATCGTCATTTTATGATTTATTTATAATTAGATCAAGCTGCTTAAAATAATCTTATCTGACCGTTTTCTGCAATTTGCAATAGTTGATGTTTTTCAATATTTTTAATTCGTCTGGCATTGATTCCTTTGGGTTTAAGGCCACTGAAATGGGCAATTTTCAGGTTAGTTTTGTCTACCTAATTTCTGTGGCAATTTTTTTAATTTACGTATTCCAGTAAATTTTTGTGAAATATTGAAAAATATTTCAGGTTATTACTCTAATATTAGGGGTTAAAGTATGAAATTGCCGTTTTATTGCAATAGGTTCTTTGAATTTTCATAGAATCTTCATGGTTTGAGGTTTTCGAATGAAACTTTTTTCAAATGGTTTCCGTGAATTTTTTTTTTTTTAATTTGAAACATTTGAATATCGACTTTCAATTGTTTTTGTTATTCAATTTAGACAAGAAAGATGGATACTGCGAAAATTCGAGTGATTTTTGAATACGAGTTCCGACGCGGAACTAACGCGGCAGAAACAGCCCGCAATATCAATGCTGCGTTTGGAGAGGGGTCTACTAATGAACGCACCGTGCGATTTTGGTTTAAACGCTTTCGTGATGGAAATTTCGACTTAAAGAACGAGCCACGAGGAAGACCGCCCACACAGGTGAATAACGATGAATTAAGAGATATAGTGGAAGCCGATCCTAGTCAAACTACCCAGGAATTAGCGGCATGGTTTAACGTTACCTTACCCACAATATTGACTCACTTGCGTCAAATCAATAAAATAAAAAAATACGAAAAATGGGTGCCTCATGATTTGACTGATATGCAGAAAGAAACGCGTGTTGAAACTTGTGTTGCCTTGTTGAACCGGTACAGAAATGAAGGAATATTGGATCGAATTGTAACATGTGATGAAAAGTGGATTCTTTATGATAACCGGAAAAGAAAAATGCAATGGCTGACCCCAGGTCAAATGCCACAACAGTGTCCTAAAGCAAAACTTACCAATAAAAAGGTAATGGTAACTGTTTGGTGGTCTCAGCATGGTGTTATTCACTATAGTTTTCTCCGATCTGGTCAAGCAATAACGGCAGATGTCTATTGTGCCGAACTCCGAACCATGTTGACAAAACTAGCAGTAAAACAGCCCCGACTCATGAATCGATCTTCACCATTATTGCTCCACGACAACGCGAGACCTCACACAGCACGAGAAACCATTTTGACCCTGCAGTTAGAAACCATTCGTCATCCTCCGTATTCACCAGACCTTGCTCCAACGGACTACCATTTTTTTTGTGATTTGGACAATTATCTACGTGACAAGAAGTTTTCTTCCCAGGAGGCAGTACAAAATGCTTTCACACAGTTTGTGCAGTCTAGATCGTCGGAGTTCTATCGCAAAGGCCTTAACTTAACCTTCCCATTAGATGGCAGCAATGTATAGGTAATAATGGCAACTATTTTGATTAAATAAATTTGTTAAAAATTTAAAAAATAAACAATTTAGATTTTCAGTACAAATCGGCAATTTCATACTTTAACCCCTATTAATAACACCTCACGATAATATTCTACAATATTTAAATAATAAAAATTGCCATCAAAATTAGGTGAAGAAAACTAACCTGTAAATTAACCGATCAATGTTTGAGGAAGGTTTGAGGTGGATTCGCTCTGGAGCTTTTGGAGGGAAAAGTTTCGTTTTTATTTTGACTTTTAATTATTTTGTGAAATCTAGTTGAAAGTGGAATAGGATAGTGCTATTGTGCCTTAATCGAAGATTAAAACGCGAAATTATACAAATCTCGAACTAGAATACCCGTATCGGCCCGTTTTAAGGAATCCCGAGTCAATCCAAGCACGCCGCCTCAAATTGCCTATCCTCTTTGTGGCGGCCATATTTACAGAAACATAATTAAACTTCATGTTTAGGCTGATGGCTTTGCCAAAGCCTTAATAAATTAAAAAAAAAAATCAATGTTTGACAAGTTTAATGCTGAAGAATTACTTCAATGGAGTTAAATTGTTGTTTATAATGTTAGTGAATCAAACAAGACCTTACAATTTTATAGAAAAATTAAATAATTGCTGTAGTTTTTTTATTCCCTTGGTTCTGAAATTCTCAATATGTAATTAATTTTGATTCCTTCAAAAAGAGTATCTGTTAAAAATGTATGTCTTTAGCTCACCTGATGTTCAATGTGTAACCGTAGGTTGTGTTGTATTTTTGAGAAAAAGATCTTGCCAGTGACATCAAAAGATGTCTTTTATTTCACATATTTTATCACCTCTGAACCGTCACCTGACCTAGAGTCACACGATGTCCATAACGATTTTGGTACTGTAGCGACCTAGAGTTACACGGTTTCTCTAACCCCACCTCTCACCATTAAAAAAAAATTACAAAAACACTATAAAAAGTTTTTTTTTACCAAAATCGTTCGTTAGGGACACGTGTTTCTCGCGTGTTTCTAGAATGCGTGATGGGTTAAATAGACGTTTAGTTCATCTATTATAGAAAACGAGATTTCCGTCGTCCTTTCTTTTTATATTCTTTATATAGTTTACGTCAAAAACATATATTAGGGAAATCCAGATGCAGATATTGGTATTAACCACTTTTAACACATTCACTTCATCTCGCACCTACCTGATAATCTTCGCTGTCCAACAGTCACTACGTTTTTTTGTCACTTTCCGTATATAAATCAAGTCATAATCATAGTTGATCAGTGATTAAACATGTCAAAAAATGACAAATTGTCGATACAGGCGTAATTACTACCGTAATCATCTGTCGATAATTACCGACGTAGGGAATGTAAGGGAATGTGTTTACTCTATCCTACATAACATTGACATTGTCACTAAAATACGAGTACAATATTTGCCTCGGTTTAATGACTGCGGAATCAAATCAAAATAATCCTCGCATAAGTTGTTTTTTAGATTTGTTATTGTGATAAGATCTATATTTATCTACAGCTGGATGGTTATTATATTTAATACAATAGATATTTTACATAAAATTCGTTTGTGGTGCAAATTATAATAACTTTAAATTTTTTTGGAAAGCGTATAAATTTATTATCGTAATACACCTATTTACAACCTGATTTGAAATATGAGGTATAAAATACACGCAACATGTTTATACATGATTTACACGCTTTCAGTTACAAATAAATAGCTACGTGTTATTTTCAAAGAATAACGGTAATAATTCTCCAAGACTCGAAGTGCATGAAATATTTATTCAGGATGCCTATGAGATAGCTGCCATAAGACGACGCAAGGTACCCGCTGAAGCGAGTTAGGTAATCCGCCAGAAGATCCTCGATCATGGCGTTGAAAATGTCGTCGAAGTTGTCGTCGAACTGTGTACGGCTCTGAAATTTTATTAAAAAATGATCTCAATTGATATCTTAGATCAGAGTACCTACACAAACTTTTCTATTTCCATCATCCTTATTTAAGGCTGCGTTTCCACCAAAGATGTGTCAGGTAGTGACGGTGTACGAGGAAAAGATCTACCAATAGGATTACTCCATTTTCCTAGGCTCGCTTAGCGCAGTTCTGGTGAAAAAGGGCTAGCCGAGCTAAGTATTTGTACATACCACAAAAGCAAGAGATGTGTGTGATCAATATGGGCGAGGGATGCAGTGGTCTCGAAAGTCAAAATGCGAAATCGGTAGGGTTGCCATGTAAAATATTTGGACCACAAATCGGTAAATAAAAAAATTATAAATTGAACAAATCTCTATATCTTAAGTAGGAATGTTATTTCACTCAGTAAGGTTATGGTAAGTATTTGAACACAAACGTATTCCCCAAATATATTGTTTACACGTCGATCGACGTTTGAGCGGTAGGGAATCCTTTAAAAGGTTAAAAAAATTGGGATGCCAACTTGGATTGTTCAAAATCAGTAAAAAATCGGGAGAAATTCTCTCTTAAAAGAATCATAGAAAAATCGTTTCATTCCGGTATTTCGGTAGAACAAGCGCCAAATCGGGAGAAATGCCTAAAAATCGGTAGGTTCGAGACCCCTGGAGGAATGCGAGTGAGGTACATGAGCGAGCTGGCTGTCGTCGCTTCCTCTCACCCCACCACATTGCACCCCAACCGCGCACAGCTGAAAAGAATACGCTACTCATCCTTCTTCAGTACGCATCCTCACACCGTTTAGCTACCTTGCACAGCTTTAATGGAAATCCTAACACCGTTTCACAGCACCACTATACACATTCACACCGCCTAGCTACAACGCAAATCTCCGGTTAAAAAAAGGTGGACTGCAACCTACTGGCTTTATTTGATTTCATGAGACCCTAATTTTATTCAAACAGTATAGTAAGGAACGATCCTATGAAAAAAAATTCAGTACCACAAGGAGCAAAGTCATCCGTATAACATTACGTAGTAATGTAAAACTAAATGTAGCGTAAATTGGAATGTTTTCTTTGTAAAATTAAAAATAAGGTATTTAATTAATAACTATTGTAACTATAATGAAAAAATAGGATGGTTTGCATTAATATTAGACATAACTTTTTGAAGACTGTACCACCTCAGTCAACTGTGACCATGGGACCTGTAAAGGGCCCGAAACGTCGGTTTGTTTGAAAAATATATACATATACGCGAATTAAATCCGCAAAAACAGTTTCATTTCCTATGTGTAACAATCGCGAAAACCTAAGAACTCGATATTACGTAGTAAATCAAAAAAAATATTAAATGTTCGACTAATTAATTATTAAATTCGTAAGCAAATCAATTACGATTATTTACTAATTATCTCAGCATTAATGCCATTTTTACTTAGAAACAAGTCGGTGTTTTATCAATATCTTCGCGATATGTAATCTTAAAGATCATTAATTATCAGACCTATTTTCAGACAATATTAGCTTAGGGTCAAAGCCATGACTAAATTATGTATGTGTGTGTTATTTCGACTTTACATTTTCGTCAGTATTGCCTATTTTGTGTTGTTTAGATGCCCAAACAATAAAATTCTACATCTTCCAGATACATACACAGTCCATCATTTTCTTCCCATAAACGAATAGAACTTCCAACATAAACAATAACAACCACAATTCAAAATGTACTTACAGTAATTTGCTCTATTGAGAAGTAAGGATTTTCAAATCTGTCAATTAATATTGCTTTCTCGTCTTCTGATTGTTTCAAATAAACTTTGCTACAAAAGTTTAGATTATGGATAGTAAATCTGGAACACAGTTATATTAGAATTAACGTAGACGCATTCTTTAGGATAATAAATATATTAAGATCGATGAATGTAAATGTAAGTCAAAATATATCTACTCACTGTAAAAGTCCCATTCCAGATAATGGGAAAGCATCGTGAAATAGACTTCCTTCCATTTCATAATGTTCTAAAAATACCAAACGTAAGAGAGCAGGTAAAGAGACTTTAGGAAAAATACATGAGATCGTCAATCTTCTCACTCGATCACTTCTAAATGAAGTCGGCAACACTGTCAGCATGGTCAGCATTTTACCCAACTACCACAATGAAATTTTTCATTGTTTAGTATGTTTTTGTTAGTCAAATATCAAATGCTATCTTTTTAAATTACATTCATTTTCGTTTATCACTTATACTTTAGGTATTAAGTTCAATAATGATTTTTGACTATTTGCACCTTTTGTATAATAAGGCCACATTTGCAAAATGACAACTTTTCAGGAGACAGTAAGAGACACTTTTGACGAGTTTGTCTAGGGAAGTACTGCCACCGTACCTGTTTCTGCCGCCAAACAGTAATGTTAGCATTACTGCGTTCCACTTTTTGAAGGATAAGGGTGTTGATGAAATTATAGGCACATGGGATTTGTCAACTTATTTTTTATGCTTAATATGTTTCATGCATTTCGTATTATTTTAATGGCTTTCATGTCATAAAAGCACTTTTGATACATAATTACATAATATGTGGGTTTATTATACCCAATGCCGGTAGACCTATGGTGCAGCGAAGTAAACGGCCTATTGTTTCCCAACATCATTTTGTAATTACACTTAAGACTATTTGTAATCGAATTTTCGATCTCTGGGGAAAATGTAGCTGTAAGTTATCCATTTTGACCGCGTGACTAGTAGAGGGTGCCAAGGTATTGATTGACACCGGGGTGAGTGGCGAGTCTTAACGGTATCCCACGAGCCGGCACCGATGGGTGAGGGTGCATACACAAGTTTTTGTGGGTAGGCTTGCGAGGATACATCGGGCGAGCTTGTATCGCTGGGTGGGTCAACGGAGGAGAGTTGGCGGGATATGCATAAGGCATTTTCCTGTATATATAAAAAAATGGTATTAATTGCATCCGGGCTCTACATGGGCTAGCGCCGGCGCTGATTATCGAACAAGGGTACTAATTGTCGCTAGCAACCGCGTGAATTATTTGAGTACAAAATGTTGCTTGTGACCGCTGTACAATTGCAATGCAAAATTGCGATGTACTCTACGCGGTCATATGCGACAGTATAGGATGTGAGCATTCGTGCGTTCTGTGTTTTTGTGTGAAAATGAGTTTAGTAGAATAACAAACATTACCGGCTTCAAAGTTTAAAAAAGGAAAAGTAATGTCCAAATCAACAGCAACTGCTTCCTTGATAAAATCTGATTTTAGAACTTCAAAATCGCCCAAGCCATTGATAATTCCATGACTTATGTTTGCTTGTAGTCTGAAATTCCAACATTAAATAAATAAATGTAGTCATTCATCACCATTAAATCATGTACCACTCATTTCAGGGTTGGGGTCTCCTTTAAAGATAAATGATATAAAGGAGAATAATACATTTATTTCATATTTTAAAAACCACGTGTGTTAGAGCGATGCCATCAATGCGTTACGTTGACGTTGCGACGCCTGAGCGGTGAAGCTGCGTAGTACATATAAATCAGAACGAAATGCCAGACGGTGCGGTGAAAAGGCGCAAGGTGACGGAACGCGTGCACAGCGGGGGGCCAAGAGATGAAGCGGAGAGGGTGCTGCGGTGCGCAAGTAAGTGGCGTTACGTTAAAACCACCACCGCATTGCTCGTGTGGCACTCGGTGCGTCGAAATTGAAATCATAGCTTTTTTTTCAAGAGTTACATATTTTGCAAATATAGCATTTAATGTTTTTCTAACACAAAGACATTGTTCACATCCTCCTCGCTTCCTGGGGCAGCACACGGGTGGCATCGCTCTTAGCATAACAATGATCTTATGCGTTACATATAAACATCACATATTACAAATTCCCAAGTATGAGGAATGGGGGAGAATTTGACAAAAAATTAACTTATTTCTCATAATAGCCTGCGACCAATGTGACGTAGTTCAGTGGCTGAATACCACCATAGTATATTAAAGTGCATTATGTCTTCGAAGAATTTTGTGAACCTTGTTGAACAAAAGTAGCTGCAGGTGCGATATATAATTTCACCGTTAAAGCCTAAACCTAACTAAACTATACCTAATTACTAAACCTAACTGCTAGTTATTCAGAAACCCCCGGGCGGCGTCGTGGTGAATGCTCACTGATCCCACGGCGCCGACTCAACCGGCGAGAGGGAAACCCGGGGGGGTTTTAGTGGGGTAGGCCCTCCAGTCTGGAGGGAGAGTCCCCACATAACCCCTGAGTCTCCCTGGGCTCAGGGGTATCCATAAAGATTTCCCCCCGTCAAAAAAAAAAAAAAAGTTATTCAGAAACCCGATGGTGCAGGTCGTCTGGTCGATATTGAAGCGGTAAGGTCAAGCTATCACTGCTCGATCATTTTTTCCGTTGCAACAACGTACTCATGTAAGTACATCGTCCCCTCCTACGTAAAGAATCGTAAGCCCAAATTCCAAACTTTACAAGGATATACAGACGGGAATTTGGGTTGTACCGAGCGTTTTAGGTATATAGATCGTTTAAATATTTTGAAAGGATTAAATGAGCGTAACACCTGCTATTCTCAAGATATTGCAATAATATTTGATACGTACTTATCTATTGATGAGTGTTATTAAACTTACACAATAAAGTGATTTATAAAAAAAAAAAAACCTATTTTTGTAACTTACGATAGATTACGTAGAAGCAGTCGATGTGTGTATTTTAACTACCTTTACGTGAATAAAGGCGTTTGCCTTATCCACCAACAAAATATTTTTTATTTAAATGACCGGTTAAACAAATCACAAAGCTTGAAAACCTATGGTCGCATCAAGTGCGACAATCAAATGCATAATTTGTTAATATAATACTAATAAATACCTTTAGTAATTAATTACCTTAGGAAAGTTTCTCGAAAGTAGAATTCCGCATACGGAAACTTATAAGGATCAGTTGGTTGGATATTTTTATCGGAGTCGCCCTTTCTAATAACATTTCTCAACATTTCGAATAAATGTCGCATTATCGAATTCGGTGTGAAGCGTTCACCTTTCCTGACAATAGCATCTGAAATATTACAAACATTAAACTAATATGATAGCGTGCACACTTGAGGTATTTTAATATTTTTATGAGACTAAGTGACGGGATGTACAAGTCGTGGTAAGCGACACGCCTGTTCATATCAGTTGCAATACAACTCACAACCTTAAATCGCAAAGATCTGAAGGGAACTACCATTGTCCCCGTCACCCTTAAACGTAAGCTGACAAATCCCATGTAATTTAACCAGCACCTTACACATCAAAATTGGAACACAGTAATGCGCACATTACTTCTTGGCAGTAGAAATAGATAAGGTGGCAGTACTTCCCTGGACGAACTCTTTCACGAGGAGTTCTATTCCTATTGGTATTTGTTTATAGATAATTTGTTCGATATTCTTTGACTATAAACAATTTCACGATAGATACACACCTTTGCCTCTAAATTTGCATATGTAAAGCTAGCTATATAATAACTATGCTCGAACTGAACCAGAACCAACCAATCACAGAAAAATATACGAAACTCTTTGTTAATTATACCATCATGCTACTTAAACATTTACGCTACTTACCATTAGTAGACACTGTATGAACGGCAATCAACAAAACCACCAAAAAGAGCTTCATTATGATTTAAAGTGATTGTAAAGGATGATATCTACTAGAAGAAAAGAACACAATTAAACCCGAATCTTTGGCCATGATGTATTTAGGTTCATTAAGGTAAACTTTATCAGTTATTTCGAAAGCAGGATTTTCTTATCAATGTGTGGCATTCTATTAATTCCCATATTTGAATGTACTTTGTGTTGTTATCTATGTGCTGTTTACTTTTATTGACTAATTAGTACATAATATCACACAAAAGTCAACCTATGACGTACTTATGTCAGAATTTTGAATCTAGATGGTTGCGTAGGTAAGCCATAATGGATGCTCTAAGATACCTGACTTATGCCGACTACTCGGTTCCGAGTAGATCAGTGAGAAGAAAGATGTTAAACCTTTGACCAGTGAGTCGTAAAATTAAATAATATTATATGCTTTAGCCCATTTGATCTTTAATTACATTGCATAAATACAAATTTTAGTAAAACCCTGAAATGCCTTTGAATCCGTAAGAAGGCTCTCATTACTATAAAGTCGGTTATTGGGGATTGAGTCAGGTCTTTTTTTCGTATATGAGATCATAGGTGTCAGATATCTTAGGGCACCGACTGTACCTGCATTTACTATCCCAACCCATTGGAATTGCATCAATTCCAACAAACGCATTTGTATAAGGTGTGAATAGAGCTGAATCGTTTGTTGTCAGCACGCAGTATAGTTTCGGTATTGTATTATTTGGAATCTACGTGTAGATCCAATGTGAAACGTTTAATTCAATTAGTTTTCCCATAGCGATAAAAGAGAACCGTACAATGATGGAGCCTTTAAATGTATATAGGAAGGAACCCAGGTCCTTGACCTGATTTAGATAAACGAATCAAATGTTACAGAAAATACGGGCATTTAGAAACCACGAATAGAACAATTATACATCTACTCTGCTCTCCATATCATAACTAACGTAATCGATATTTTTAGCGAAATTGAGTTATTAACATGTCTGGGATCTACGAAACGAGACCTGCAACTTCCTCTTCGGTTTTTGTATATGTTATTTACTAACTGTTTTATTGTTAAGCAAAATCTGCGTAATTGACATTTTTTACTAAAGTTAACGTGCATATTATATATATGCAATTCTCATATATATTATACCCACTTAAAACCGGATATACATTTGTCAGACGTGTCGTGTCGTGACGTGTTAGAATGGTATCGGTTTCCTTGTATATATTTACACTGTTAATTATTAAAGTGTCGGCAAGGAACTTATTATTATTATTATGAAAGACTGCTGAGTTTAGAAAGGAGAAATTGGCCAATAACTTGGCTGAATAAGGGCTGCGTTTGAACTTCCATATTTGTTTACGTTTAATAGACATGATGCAATTGCATTTCGTAACTCTGAATGCGATACATTCATAAAATGATTATGTCTTCTTACACACGCATATAGATTTAAAAAAACTATGCTATAAAAAATCTTTGTAACTTTTTTATTATACCAATTGGCGGGATGATCAAGTCATCCGTCTGGTGATAAGTGGCACGCTCAAAGCTTTGACTATAGAGTTAAATTATAAAGACTATTCTTTGTATTTGCACTGCCGTTTTGAGCTTTAAATCGCAAAGATCTAAGGGACATTGCAACAGCCTGAGACATAAGTTGACAAGTCCCACTTACCCGTAATTTGACCAGCACCCTCACTCTTCAAAATTGGAACGCAGTAATGCTCAAATTACCGCTTGGCGGTAGAATAGAAACAGGTAGTACCTATTGCCCTGTACGCACTTTTCACAAAGAGCTCTACTGCTAATAAGTACGCAGTATAAAGTTATCCAGTGACAAGACGCAAAAAATCCTGTAACTTATATAATTTTTATTATAAAATAATTGATATAACTTTACATTATGTCTTTATAATTATAAGAATCAAGAGACAATAAAACTACATGTATCTAGTCCTAGCTTTTAGCGGTGATTTATTGCATAATATTATTGTGTTACGATTGACTGCCGCCAGATGTTTGACGGTGATGTAAATATAGTCGACATCCTTTCGTTGCGCTACGTGAGTTAGCGAACAATAATGCACCTTCGAAGTTACAAAGTGTGACTTTTCTCAATTTTTTGTAGCTAGTAGAGTCATTGGAAACTATTACGGCAGGCTAAAGAAAATATACGAATAAACGAAATCATTATTACACATTAATTTATATCTACGGCGATCACATATATTTGTGTATTACACACATAAACTTTAAACTTTTAAATAAATAAATACAATAAATATTCGACAACATTCCATAAGTTGTTGTGATCCCAAAGTAATTATGCAACTAAAGCATTTGTTAAATTTGTATTGAATTGATATTAAATTATTTTTTGTGAAATTACTCCACTAATTTGTTACAATTATTAATGAGTGACGTAATACTTTCATAGATTTCTTATAGATGGCGCTACGGTTAAAAGTCGTTGAAAACCAAATACAAAGATCCGATAACAAGCACATAGAAAGATTCGTGAGGTCCGCTGGTTGGTTCCGTGGCTTAGTTGACATAGCGACAACGCACGGTTTGCTGGAAGAAGTCGGTTTGAATCCGGTTCGATCTTTGTATTAATAACTAAAGCATTTGTGTTATGGAAATCGGAAACAACGACGGTACCACAAACACCCAGGGGGTCTACTCGATCCCGTCCTCCAACCGACATTCGTCCCATTCAAAAGAAATCATATGACAATGACAAGTAAGAAGCACAATTCGCATCATGCGACTTTTAGTATGGTCGAGTACCTATTACTCATTTGACGGTAATTGTTACGGACATATGTCGGACGGAGAACTGCAGTAGACCCTCATACGAGACAATATATAAAAGTTAGTTTCTACATTAAATAAATAATCAATAAAATTGTTTATTGAATAACTTATTGTACAAATGAATAACTAAAGGTGAATTATGCGAATAAATGTAAAATATAACACATACATCTGAACTAGGAGAAACCTCTAATTCAGGTAAAAAGTACTAATTATACAGGTATTATATATGATTAAATTATAAAAAAAAAATAATAAACAATAAAACGCATATCATATACCTATACGCTTAAATTAGACAACATTTATTTTGGGATAATTAATAAATTCTCTGTATCAGCGTAGGACATATTTTGAAGGAACTCTTGGAGAATTTTCTTAATCTTTACGTAACAAAAATGATATATGGCAAAATCGTGACCCGGTCGAGGATCGAATTCGGGGTCTCAAAGATATTGACACCACGAAAACTAGTGTATAAGCCACTCGACTCGAAGGTCGTCTATTGCCTAGGTTATAACTCGGTTACTCAATTCTTGTAATAACGCGATGAACTGTTGAACCTTAAACTATGTTGACAATATGGCAGTAGTGTTGCTATAGAAAGCAGCGGAAGATTTTTCACTTATGGGTAGGTATCTGAATACATCTTTTTAAATATATTTACTGATAGCAATCTGTTTATACTAACAAAAGAGCCTATGTTTTGAGATATAATAGTATTTGTAACTACTTAAATCTGGAATAAATTATTTTATTCCGGTTATTTTTATTTTTATTCCGGAGATTTTAGTACCAGTATAGCTTTTTGTGAAAGAGTTTGGCCTGGGTAGTACTGCCACCGTACCATAAATAATAATATTTTTACCTAAAACAAATAACTAATATTATATATTTCTATTATACTTATGATACTAGTAAAAGCAGGCATGATATTGGTAATTGTTTCTAAGAGTGTTACACACGGCGCCCTTTAGCAGTCATGCAAACGCGCGTTCGTGAAACGAGTGATTGCATCGACGCAAACGCGCGATTGCATCGATACAAACGCGCGATTGCATCGATACAAACGCGCGATTGCATCGATACAAACGTGCGATTGCACCGATACAAACGCGCGATTGCATCGATGCAACCGCCTATAAATTCCAAGTGTAGTGATGAAATCGCGCGTTTGTATCGATGCAGTCGCGCGCTTATATCGCGTTAGCAACGCTGCTTAAAATCGCGCGCGTGTGTAAAGATAGACGATTAGCGACTGTATCGCTACTGTATCGCATTTGCATCGCTGCTAAAAGCCGCCGTGTGTAATCGCTCTAATAGATATATCTATATGCCAACGCCAAATCGTACCTATAGCTAGCATAAGCTAAATACTATAATACTATGTTTTAATTAAATAAACGTTCAGTTCTATGGCAATAGATGTGGCTAATAAGAAGCAAATGGATTTTTATGACAGCTCAAAAGAAATAGGCCATTGTCTCCCAAGTGGAGCGTGACGGAAGGGCAACAAGCCAAACTTAAATTAAATGGCATATTTATGAGGATCCGGCTTGATTTCACACGACAAAATTTCGATATTCTTATTAATTCGATAAGTATTTATATAATACATAGATAAAAATATTTGAACACTTCATATTGTCAAAGAATTTAAATAATCACGCGTTTATTATCTTCAACATGTATGGTAATCTACTAAGTTGGTTTTCTCGTACTTACTTATAAGTATGTTATAGGTAAGTAGCAGCAGAGTTCCTTGTAAAATAGTTCGTCCGGGGTCAAGTCCTGCCACCTTACCTATTTCTACCGCCAAGCAGTAGTGTGAGCATTACTGCGTTTCAGTTTTTATGGTTCCTAAGAGTGATGGTGAAATTACAGGGACATCAAACTTGTCCACTTATGTCTCAGGTTGACGAGCGTACCGGTAGTGACCCTCACATCTTTGCGATTTAAAGGTTCTGAGGGGCACTGCAACTGCTATGGACAGGCGCGTCGCTTACCATCAGGTGTGGCTGTTACCTGTTCTGCATAACTGTTCGTCTAGCCAATTGCTATCATAAAAAAGACCTCTGTTATAAAATTAAATATAATAGATATCACAATAGATAAGGGAATTCCGCGCTATAAAGTTAGACCATAACGTATAACCATTGCATATTTGTATTTTTTTCTATAGTACCAAGTGACGGGACGAAGAAGTCGTGCGCCTGGTGGCAAGCGACACGCCTGTCCATAACAGTTGCAGTGCCACTCAGAGCTTTAAACCGCAAAGATCTTAGGGGCACTGCCAATGCGCCCGTCACCCAGAGACATAAGTTGACAAGTCCCATG